CTGCAGCCGAGTGGACACGCCCACCACATCTGGATCTGGATGCAAAAGATGTAGTCTACCTGTAGTCTACAGTCAGATGTTTTATATCTGGTTTGATCCTAGTTTAGACCTAGTTTAGACCCATATTAAGGCAGCAAATTGTGTGAAATGTCACATTGCATACATGTACATATAATATAGGCCTATCTCTACACACGCAGACCCCTGAGAGTAACAGGACTGGCAACAGTTTATCTTTGAGTATTTTTTATCGGCAGGTTTGCGACTTGAAAGACAGCACAAGAATCATAATATTAGTTGTTGACATGGAGCGTCTACAGCAGCAGCAGCGCAGCGACAACCAGATCAAGTGGTTAAGGTGCACGCCCACCGCATCTACAGCTGAGTGGACACGCCCAACACGTCTGGATCTGGAAGCAGGAGATGTAGTCTACCTGTTGTGTTCACAGCAAGATGTAGTGTAAGATTTCACTCTGGGTGATTGTGTCAAAATGATCCAATGAGTCAGTCCCTATTTTGGTAGCAAATTGTGTGAACTAGATCATTATACACATTATATAAGCCTGTACATGTCTACACAAACACTACATTCATGACAGTGAAGACACGGACAGTATTTTGTGTTTGACCATGTTCATTTGTTACACGACATAGTGATATGGCTCCTGTTATAGGAGCGTCTGGAGCAGCGAACAGATCAAGTGGTTGAGCGCGTTTATGCGCTGCAGTAAAGAGCAACGTTTGTTATTTCAAACCAGGTCTTGATGGGAACATGTGCTGGATACATTTGGATTATTTTTCAATGGGGAAATAATACGCCACGATAAAGAAGGTTTAACGCGACAATACAGTTCTGGCAGTTTTGTGTCTCTATGGGAGTGAATGGAAGCGAGAGGACACGCCCCCCATGCTTCCAGATGTGGCCCCGCCTTTACCAGTTAAACTGATCGCCAGACAATCCGGAACACCGGACCTCGTGTCACGGACCAGACTGGACCAGGATTTAGACCAGTTTCATCTCTTCATATTGGACAATAGACTTTTGGAAACAGTAACAGTGGGACAGTGGATAGAGGAAACACTGCTTCAGTCTCTGGAGAAGGTAAGAGGCTGGTTTTCATTATTTTGCGGCAAATCAGAACTTGGAGCCTCACAGGTAAATAGTGTTATAGTGTTAATAGTTAAATAGTGTTATAGTGTTAATAGTTAAATAGTGTTATAGTGTTAATAGTTAAATAGTGTTATAGTGTTAATAGTTAAATAGTGTTATAGTGTTAATAGTTAAATAGTGTTATAGTGTTAATAGTTAATAGTGTTATAGTGTTAATAGTTAAATAGTGTTATAGTGTTAGTTAAATAGTGTTATAGTGTTATAGTAAATAGTTATAGTTTATAGTTAATAGTGTTATAGTGTTAATAGTTAATAGTGTTATAGTGTTAATAGTTAAATAGTGTTATAGTGTTAATAGTTAAATAGTGTTATAGTGTTAATAGTTAAATAGTGTTATAGTGTTAATAGTTAAATAGTGTTATAGTTTTAATAGTTAAATAGTGTTATAGTGTTAATAGTTAAATAGTGTTATAGTGTTAATAGTTAAATAGTGTTATAGTGTTAATAGTTAAATAGTGTTATAGTTTTAATAGTTAAATAGTGTTATAGTGTTAATAGTTAAATAGTGTTATAGTGTTAATAGTTAAATAGTGTAGTAATAGTTAATAGTGTTATAGTTTTAATAGTTAAATAGTGTTATAGTGTTAATAGTTAAAGTTAATAGTGTAAATAGTGTTATAGTTTTAATAGTTAAATAGTGTTATAGTGTTAATAGTTAAATAGTTAATAGTGTAGTGTTAATAGTTAAATAGTGTTATAGTTAATAGTTAAAGTTGTATAGTTTAATAGTTAAAGTAGTGCGTAAGTGTTAATAGTTAATAGTGCGTAAATGAGCTGGTGGGTGCGATGGAGCTGCTCTGGTTGTTCTGTCGTGTGCTGTAGGAGCGGCATCTGTGTTCATGTCTCTTATTGTAGTTTTGTTGACGTTTTGTTGGTCTGGGTGTGAGCGGCGTGTTACGTTGTGTTGTTGCATAAAGTTTGCGCTTGGCTCTTCATTGTGCTCTGATCGATACTGTTCAGCCAATACTAACCAAAATGTCTGTTTCTGATATTTGTTATAATACTACAGCCTATATATATAATACATATATTATTCATAATATATATTTATAATTTTGCACTTGGTGCCCCTCCCAAAAATTATACCATCAGCCGCCACTGGTCCTGGTTTCGTCCTGGTTTCGTCCTGGTTTAGTCCTGGTTTAGTCCCGGTCCCTCAAGTCTCAGGTCTCCATAGGACAGGACTGGACGGCGACTCGCGTACCACGTTCACTACAGCCCTGGTGCTGTCCGATGCGTGGTTATTTCTAGTTCAGAGGTGTTTTTGACGAGAGGCTGTTGTTTAATGTTTACAACCAGTGGCAGGACTTATTGTTTTTTAATAAACCTCAACCTTTTATTATTGTCTTGTGTGCCTATCGTCTACCACACAGCCTCAACAACTATTGCAGCTAATAATAATAATAATCTTAATATAATAATGATTATAATAACAACACATAATTAGCCTAATACTGTTAAAGAAAAACGTGTTTGATAGCATGTCTGCTGTGTATGACTCCACCGCGTTAAAATATTTCTCAAATGGCAGTGCCCCCCCTGCTGGTGACCCACGCCCCTCCAGTAGATGTGCTCTGACGCCGACTCTGACAATTAAGAATGCGAACATACACGCTGAGCGAATTTTGGAATGAATGAGCTATAGTTGGCCCTCGCCCACTAACAACGTTAGGGGCGAGGGGTATTGTTTTCGCTCGGTTTCTTACGCTCTATTATTATTATTATTATTATTTTTCCTTGCAAACGATCGCGATTTTGAGGGCCTAAACGTCGACGAAAAGTCCCCAAACCGGGTATCAGATCGATCGGCCCGGTGAAAAATTTGATAAAATGGGCATCGCGACAACGCCCAAAGCCCCCCCACTCAACAGCATTTTTCATGGTTGGCCAGTAGGGGCGCAAAGACTCCCCAAAAAAATAATTAAAAAATGATTACAGACACAGACTTAGTCCGATTGTGCTGAAATTTGAATCACTAATGCATGATCCCAGCCTGAATATAATACACTATAAAACATATGAAAAGTGAACTCTGAACGGTTTACAAATCCCATACCTCGGTTACATTGAACTAGACATGCATGTTTTGGGGGTGTCTCTTCCTCGCCGGGGTGTGTTGATTGTGAAAGACCCTTGTGATAGTTACATGCGACAGAAAAAAACAGCTGTACCTGGGGTGCTTGGTATGAATGTGTTTAACCCTCTGTATTCTGAACTACTGAGGAAATATGGCCCTGATCTGTGGGAGGCATCAGTCATCCGGTCTGCACCACCTGGACTGAGGAGAGTCCTGAGGTATTGCCAGGTGATGGAGGCCATGGCCAGCTCCCCAGACCCTCATCCAGTTAGAGTGCAGGGTAAGAGGCCTTTACGTATTCCAGCTGGCAGTTTGAAGTATGTTCCTATTACTTGCCCACAGGTGCCCTTACATCAGTCCATAGAGCTCATGGTGGAACCTCTTGGGCCTGAGCACACTGGTCTGCCTGAAGGGTTATTGATATCACCCTCATTAGTCAAGGCAGAGCAGGGCCGGACCTTTGTGCCTGTCACTAATGTGGGTACGACAGATGTCTGGTTAACCCCACGTAGGGTGATTGCCACTGTTCAAAAGGCTGAAGTTATAATTGGGGAGCAGGCGCATATTCAGGTTTCTGTAGATTCACAAAGTGGTACAGCATTTATTGCTACTCAGGAGGTGACAGAGGCAAGTGAGATTAATTTACCCGAGTTTGAAAATCTAGTTTTGGGAGATAGACTAAAAGCTAAGGCTCTTTTGGCAAAGTATAGCAGAGTTTTTGCACGAAATGATCTAGATGTGGGATGCACAGATCTTATTAAACATGAAATACCCTTGCTAGATGAGACTCCGGTGCGTCAGCCATATAGGCGGATTCCCCCCTCACAATATGAATTGGCCCGTAATCACATCCAACAGTTGTTGCAAAGTCAAATAATTAGGGAGAGCAGCAGTCCGTATTCCTCCCCAATAGTTCTGGTGCTTAAAAAGGATGGTTCATTGCGCATGTGCGTGGACTACAGGCTGTTAAATGCGAAGACCAGAAAAGATGCATTTCCTCTTCCAAGAATAGAGGAGTCGCTGGATGCTTTGGCTGGAGCGCAATGGTTCTCCACATTAGATTTGGCTAGCGGCTACAGCCAAGTGGAGATGGCTGAAAGGGACAAGGCAAAGACGGCATTTTGTACCCCTTTTGGTCTGTTTGAATTTAATCGCATGCCGTTTGGTCTGTGCAATGCGCCAAGTACTTTTCAGCGGCTCATGGAGCGTATTTTTGGGGACTGTCGCCATCAGTCAGTACTTTTGTACTTAGATGATGTGATAGTTTTTTCCTCCACTGTACAGCAGCACCTTGAACGGTTAGAACAAGTCTTTTCCCGGTTAGACACGCAGGGGTTGAAGGTAAAGCTTTCTAAATGTAATTTTTATTTTATTTTTTTTATTTTTATTTTTTTTCACTCTTTTAAGTGACATTTTATTGAATAATAATGTATATGCAAACCAATGTATGCGTTATGAGCAAATGTGAGAGTGGATTTCCATTAGCTAGGCACCAATACTGAAAGTGGAAAATGGTTATCCACTTCTCAGTTTCTACGTCCACATGTGAGAGGGAAATCCTGAACCCAATGAACCCCAGGTGGCCATAAGAAAGGATATTAAAAATATCTACTGGCTTTAAAACAATATAAAAAGTAACAATGGATACCAGTTTTAGGAACGAATATTGCATTTACTTCTTTGGTAAGACCTAATAGTCAGAACAGTCAGAGCAGCAGTTTGGAGGCATGCCACATGTGCCAGTTTTAGACTTCATCTTGGTCCCCATTTGATGTTGGTTAAGCCTTGAATCTGTCTTTTGAGAGCCTGTCTATCCGACCAATCAGAGTCCAGGTAGCTGTCGTCATCAGCCTCCTCCAGTTTCTTGAGTTCCTCTTGTCTCCTGTGGTAATGCATCATCATCTGTTTGTGCTGTTCCTCAGTGATCAATGGCTCCCTCGCTGGTGCCCCCTGGCCTTTCTTCTGAATTTTTACAAAAATTTTTGTCTTCTCGTTCTTGCCTATGTAGTCCTGGAGCTTTTTCCCTCTCTGCATCTCTTTAGCAGCCCACCACAGCTGACAGTCCTCCTCAGGAACAACTTGAAGAGACGCCTGTGTTCCCGAAAGGTCTTCTCGGTCCTCCATCTCCATCCGGATGGGGTCATGTGGAGGCAGGCCCATGGGATAAACAATCATCACAGCTCCTCTCAGCTGGTCAAGAGCCTCTTTCACCATGTCCATAGTGACACACACATTAGCCTGGATTTGTTTCTTTGAAATTAGCGTTTTTGCTTCATCTACTGTTTTCATCAAAACCTCTTTCATTTTCTCATTTGGAGCTTGTCCATTCCTCTTTCCTATCTCATCCTGCCTCAGCACTGGACCGCCACTAGGAACACACTTCTCTTCCCATTCATCTATGAGTTTCAGCTCCACAATTTGATCCTCTGTTAGGCCCTGCATGTTTGGTGGTAAAGTGATGCCATGATCTGCCAGTTCTGTAATTTCTGCACATATTCTCTCCACCTTGAGCCTCCCATTGTAAATAGAAGTAACTTGGTGGATTACGGTCTCCAGAGGCGCGTCCACAGAAGTGTTGAACAAAAACTGGCTTTCGTCTCCTCTTTTCACATGCAACTGCACCATTTTGCCGTCTTCTGTTCCCCCTTCACCTCCTGGAAGCTGGAAAAATTTACAGGATCAAGAAGAACTCAAATTCAAATCACAATTGCGTGATCCAGGCCTGAATGTGATGAAATATGAAATTTAATAAAAATGAACTCTATAGCGCCCCCTAGCATAGACATGAAACGTCAACATTATCGGATTTGGACCAAAGTCGGGGATTAAATTCTATGCATGATTACAAGCAAAAAAGTTTATTACGGATATGATGCATTTTCCACCATTGGCCAGCAGGGGCGCAAAGACCCCCAAAAAATAGTTAAAAAATTATTACACCCACAGGCTTAGTCCGATCGTGCTGAAATTTGAATCACTAATGCCTGATCATGGCCTGAATATAATACACTATAAAACATATGAAAAATGAACTCTATAGCGCCCCCTAGCATAGACATGAAACGTCAACATTATCGGATTTGGACCAAATTCGGAAATTAAATTCTATGCATGATGACAAGCAAAAAAAAGTCTATTACGGACATGAGGCATTTTCCACCACTGGCCAGCAGGGGCGCAAAGACTCCCCCAAAAAATAGTTAAAAAATGATTCCACCCACAGGCTTAGTCCGATTGTGCTGAAATTTGAATCACTAATGCGTCATTGTCGACCTGGGCGAATGTCGGGAAGAGAGGGTGGCGTGCCGGGGCGGTTGCGAGTAGTTTAAGGTCATGGTTTAAGGTCAAGGGTATATTTCTTCTGTTATTTCTGGCCATTTTTGTTTTATAATTGAGTTGTTTTTGTAAGTGTTGCTGTACTTACTGTTACGCAGATAAAAAGTGCGACCTACTCTGTGAAATCTACTCTGTAAAGTCTCCTCTGTGAAGTCTACTGTTTGAAATCTTTGTACGATTTGCTCTGTGTCAAGCTCAGCTAAATGTGCCTTTTCCGTTAAGCGATTTGTGATTTTCGATTTGTGATTTGCGATTTGCCTACTCTTATAATCTCCCCGAGGCCAAACAAAGCTTTGAGTTAAAGCCCACAAAGCTTTGAAGTTTAGCTTTGAGTTCCGGAGTTGCCATGGTAACAAGGCTTTATGGAACTTTACATGTATGATGTCATCGGCGCCGTGAACCTGATGGAACTGGGAGGTTTTCAGGTTCTAGAATGTGATGATGTCATACTCCCAGACGGGGCAAGAGCCACGTTTCCCTGTTGACTGAGGCCGAGTGTTGTTAAGAAGTCACTGATATGAGACAAACCTCGATTACAGTGCGCTTTCGATTCGATACGGTTCAGTAAAAAAATAAAGGCTAAATCATGGAAAATCTTTGTTAAACCACTTCTTGTGCAAAGTCCATATGAAACACAAACATTTTAATCCTCAAAACAGCGAAAATGTCAAACGAGTTTCCTTCCATTAAAACAACGAAACTGTAGCTGTAACAAAATCATTTAGTAAAATAAACCAAAAATACTCTTGGTGATATATCGATAGAGCAGCCCACAATATCGATACTGTGTCATCACATTAAACGATACAATATATCGATATTTCAATATTTTTGCACACCCCTCTACTCTTTATCACACGAAGACCACAGTTCTTTAGTTTAAGGTCATGGTTTAAGGTCAAGGGTATATTTCCTCTATTTCTGGCCATTTTTGTTTTATAATTGAGTTGTTTTGTAAGTGTTGCTGTACTTACTGTTACGCAGATAAAAAGTGCGACCTACTCTGTGAAATCTACTCTGTAAAGTCTCCTCTGTGAAGTCTACTGTTTGAAATCTTTGTACGATTTGCTCTGTGTCAAGCTCAGCTAAATGTGCCTTTTCCGTTAAGCGATATGTGATTTTCGATTTGTGATTTGCGATTTGCGATTTGCCTCCTATTATAATCTCCCCGAGGCCAAACAAAGCTTTGAGTTAAAGCCCACAAAGCTTTGAAGTTTAGCTTTGAGTTCCGGAGTTGCCATGGTAACAAGGCTTTATGGAACTTTACATGTATGATGTCATCGGCGCCGTGAACCTGATGGAACTGGGAGGTTTTCAGGTTCTAGAATGTGATGATGTCATACTCCCAGACGGGGCAAGAGCCACGTTTCCCTGTTGACTGAGGCCGAGTGTTGTTAAGAAGTCACTGATATGAGACAAACCTCGATACAGTGCGCTTTCGATTCGATACGGTTCAGTAAAAAATAAAGGCTAAATCATGGAAAATCTTTGTTAAACCACTTCTTGTGCAAGTTCATATGAAACACAAACATTTTAATCCTCAAAACAGCGAAAATGTCAAACGAGTTTCCTTCCACTAAACAAACAACGAAACTGTAGCTGTAACAAAATCATTTAGTAAAATAAACCAAAAATACTCTTGGTGATATATCGATAGAGCAGCCCACAATATCGATACTGTGTCATCACATTAAACGATACGATATATCGAATATTCAATATTTTTGCACACCCCTCTACTCTTTATCACACTGTACTTTGCCACGAAATATCCAAAAGGTAAACGCACAAATGTTAAACCTGGTATTGAAATGATTAAAAAACTCACTGTTAGAACACAATGGCCACGTTCACATGATGTTTTTTAATTGTTCTGGATTAAATTGTTTGGACTTAAAATATTTTCCTTGGAGTTTACATGGAAATAATAATTCTGAATATCTGGGTTCACGTGACATTACAGGGGCGACGTTTGTCAGCACGCAAAATCAGATGGAGGGCAAGAAGTGAACCGACTGGAGGGAAATGCCGATGTGTTGTGCAGTTTACGGCTGTGCCAATTGTTCTAACCGAGAGAGAAGGAAAAGCGATTTTTTTAGAGTACCGAAGATAGTCGTCCACAAAGGTCAGAAATGGGAAAAGCTGACAGAACAACGCCATAAAAAAGTGGATTACAAACTAGAGCCCGACCGATATGGATTTTGCTGTGGCCGATATGAAACCGATATAATGGGAGTTGGCGCTGCCGATATAATCACCGATATATTTAGTGATGTAAAAATTCACTGTAAATGTTAAATTAAATTCTACGCATGATTACAAGCAAAAAAGTCAATCATTCTGCACCCCTATGACGAACAGGAAGTCGGCCATATTGGATCAAACATTCGCCGCCGTTTTGACTTGGGGGTCTACAAAAAGATTCAAGTCCCCGGGGTTTGGTCCAAATTAGCTCAAATTTGACATGTCACATCTACAGACATGAACTCACAGAAGTTGCCAAATTTTTTTGGGATACTCCTTACAGTTCGCCCGTAGCACGCCGGCGAATAACGCCTTCATTTCCTGCTTTTTCTGTGACCTGTCACGGCCACAGGCATTGTCCTAGAGAACTCAAATTCAAATCACAATTGCGTGATCCAGGCCTGAATGTGATGAAATATGAAATTTAATAAAAGTGAACTCTATAGCGCCCCCTAGCATAGACGTGAAACATCAACATTATCGGATTTGGACCAAATTCGAGAATTAAATTCTATGCATGTTTACAAGCAAAAAAGTCATTTTTTTACGGTTGGTCAGCAGGGGCGCAAAGACTACCCCCCAAAAAATAGTTAAAAAATAATTACACACACAGGCTTAGTCCGATCGTGCTGAAATTTGAATCACTCATGCCTGATTTCGACCTGATTATAATACACTATAAAACATATGAAATGTGAACACTATAGCGCCCCCTAGCATTGACATGAAACGTCAACATTGTCGGATTTGTACCAAAGTCGGGGATTAAATTCTATGCATGATTGTAAACAAAAACAGTATATTACGGATATTGGGCATTTTTCATGGTTGGCCAGTAGGGGCGCAATGACTCCTCTGAAACATTTAAAGGTGCATTATTTAATGTGTCTAATGGACGAGCTGTCGACCTGGGCGGATGTAGGGAAGAGAGGGTGGCGTGCCGGGGCGGTCGCGAGTCCCCGGAGGTCGCGTGGGGGGGGCGGTGCGCGCCCGGGGCGAGGGCCACCATCGCCGCGCGCGGCTTTAATTTGAATTTTTATCGAGGCTCCTTAGTTTGTTTGCTGTATGATTGTTCTAAAATCTAAAATCAATCGGCGGATGGCGGGCGGGTGCGGTTTTGAAAACCTTCGGTGCAAAATGGACAGCGGGCGGATGATGAGTTTTGTGTCGCGGTTGCGGATGAAAAAATAGCCCATCCGCGCATCTCTAGTGTACCCAAATTAGAATACAAGTCTAAATAAAGGAATTAAATGATTTGCTGTAATGTAATGTAAATGAAATGAAATAACACTAACGCTGTGGAGTGGTGGCAAAGGTATCCACCACAACCTTGACAATGTATATTTTGACAACATTCAATAAACAAAACCACCTTGTTACTATTGGACCCTTACTTAAGAACAGTCAGTCACTCCTTTCACTACATAGTTCTTTTTTTTTTTTTTTTTTTTTTTTTTTACATCACCAATGTGTTATAGGCAAAGAATGAGCCCACTAATGATGCTTTACCCTCTCAGACCCAAGCATTGAGCCTGAGTGTGGGCGTGGTACTACAAACACTGAAATGAGCAGAATGAGTGTGAAGGCGTATGGCATCTGAAGAGCACTTGACCAGTCTATCTAAAGACAGAGGAGAACAGTTTCTCTTCAGTGAACACAATCTCAGCATAAATTTGTATTCAAACCTGCCTGGGAAGATTTAATAGCACATAAACGAACCTAACAACAGCAGCTCAGTTGGTAGAGTGTTTGTCTGCTGATCTGAAGGTTGGTACTTCGAATCCCGCTCTGTCATGCTGTCATTGTGTCCTTGGGCAAGACACTTAGGCTACGTTTAGATAACGGTCTGAACAGAAGATGCAAATGTGACATTGCATCTTCACTTTTTATTCCGTGTTTAGACAAGCATTTTCAGGAGGAAATCTGCGTGCAATTGGTGACGCAAAAGCATGTGGATTTCGATTGGGTATGCATGCCAGGCGGCGAGGTTGTGCACTAGGTGGTGATGTATGTGACGTAAACGCGTACACGTCGTGAGCAGATCTGACCAGTGTAGATGGAAACGCTATGCCAGAGTGTATTCAGCTTTTCCAATCTGGAGGGTGGTTTCACATTTTTTCACCGTCTAAATGAAAGGCACTTCCAATTAAATATTTTGTAGTTTTTACTCACAAGCGTTCTCGTGTAAACAGGCACTTTACTCACCTCGCCCTCAGTGTCTGCGTACACTGGTGTATGAATGGATGAGTGCTGGTGGAAAAGCGCTATATAAAAATGTGACCATAGACCACCATTGGCCTTGAATGCAGGTCCATCACCTGCTTTTTTCTATGGATATGTCATTGCTCTGCTTATAATGTTCCACAGTATGACTTTAAACAGCTCTACATTGTAAAAACTAAAATCTAACCAAGTTCAGATGATTTCAATTAAGAAAGTTTCATCATGATTTGAGTCAGTTTCACTTGCCAAGTAAAATGATCTGAGCCTGATTCATCAGCCGGTTTCAGTTCGTGGAAACCGTCTGACCTTGCAGCATTAGGATTCGTTTGCTCATTGGTAGACAAGTACTTTTTTTATTTAACCAACTGCTGCTATTTGGTCATGCCATATGTAATGCGCCAAATACTGTAGGAAGAAGTGCAATAACATCTTTCTCCTTGATAAAATTCACCAAACACTCTCTTTGTTCCAGCTTTAAATTCTTGATCTTGGGAATTGTTGCTAACACAGAATGTATGTCTTCGTCTGCATCCATCTCGACCACTTTGTTTACTGTTGTGCTGTTCCACAAAAGGGATCCAGACAGATGCTTGAGTTTGATTCGCTGATTGGTTGGGGCACAGTCTACAACTTCCAGGGTTCTTGTAAACCATCTAGTGTATTCCATGTCCTGACCTAGTCGCTGGAGAGAAATGAAATTGAGCAGAGGCACTAGGTGGAGGCAGCCTGGCTAAAATATCTACCACTGGAACAAGATTTCTTGTAGTTAAAATATGAAAATACATCTTGCTACACTTAAGATAAGAAAAACAACAGCTCTTTGCAATTAAAATAAGAAACAAAATCTAATGTTGCTTGAATTAAGAAAAACACACTTATTCCACTGGTGGATAATTTCACTTGTCAAGTTGAATCTACTCAAATAAAGTAAAATGTTCTTAATTTAAGTCATTTAACTTTTTCAAGTGTACTTTACAATGATCAAATTTATAGATATATAGCTCAAAAATACTTAAAAAACAGGCATTCTGATAGTGAGCAGG